TTTTCGAGTCGTCTTCTTCCAACCCTTCTTGCGAGCTGGTCGAAGTCGAGCAATAATTTTTAACAGCTTCATAGTTGTTGGACCAATTTTTTCGAGTTTTCTTCTCCCAACCCTTCTTGTGAGCTGGTCGAAGTCGAGCAATAATTATTAACAGCTTCATAGTTGTTGGACCAAGTTTTTCGAGTCGTCTTTTCCCAACCCTTCTTGCGAGCTGGTCGAAGTCGAGCAATAATTTTTAACAGCTTCTTAGCTGTTGAACTTCAAGTTTTTCGAGTTGACTTCTCCCACCCCTTATTGCGAGCTGATCGAAGTCGAGCAATAATTCCAACAGCTTCATAGTTGTTGGACCAAGTTTTTCGAGTTGTCTTCTCCCAACCCTTCTTGCGAGCTGGTCGAAGTCGAGCAATAATTTTTAACAGCTTCTTAGCTGTTGAACTTCAAGTTTTTCGAGTCGACTTCTCCCAACCCTTATTGCGAACTGATCGAAGTCGAGCAATAATTCCAACAGTTTCATAGTTGTTGGACCAAGTTTTTCGAGTCGTCTTCTCCCAACCCTTCTTGCGTGCTGGTCGAAGTCGAGCAATAATTTTTAACAGCTTCTTAGCTGTTGAACTTCAAGTTTTTCGAGTCGACTTCTCCCACCCCTTATTGCGAGCTGATCGAAGTCGAGCAATAATTCCAACAGCTTCATAGTTGTTGGACCAAGTTTTTCGAGTTGTCTTCTCCCAACCCTTCTTGCGAGCTGGTCGAAGTCGAGCAATAATTTTTAACAGCTTCTTAGCTGTTGAACTTCAAGTTTTTCAAGTCGACTTCTCCCAACCCTTATTGCGAGCTGGTCGAAGTCGAGCAATAATTTTTAACAGCTTCTTAGCTGTTGAATCTTCAAGTTTTTCGAGTCGACTTCTCCCAAATCTTATTGCGAGCTGATCGAAGTCGAGCAATAATTTTTAACAGCTTCTTAGCTGTTGAACTTCAAGTTTTTCGAGTCGACCTCTCCCAACCCTTATTGCAAGCTGATCGAAGTCGAGCAATAATTTTTAACAGCTTCTTAGCTGTTGAATCTTCAAGTTTTTTTTTTTTTGTCGGGTTGAGCCGGCTATATAGCCGTTTTGAAAAATTCGATATAT